TCACTATCATTCTCTTTTCCTCTCCATCTCCTCTGGTCCCCTCAGACAGACCCTCTATTACAACCATGTTCTCTATCTCTATCTATCTATCTATCTAAGATCATCTATACACTTATGTATACATTTATCTTTTAGGTCTAGCTTCCACATATGAAGGAAAATATGCAACCTTTGTCCTAAGCTTGGCTTACTCCATGATAATCTTCAGTTCCATCTGTTTACCTGCCAACAAGGGATGTATTTTCCATGTGGTTAAAGAAATAAGGTCAAAAGCCAGAAGTTCTTGCCCAGTGAAAACTGTGTGTGAAGAAAAATATTTGTAGGAAAACAGAAACTGGGGAATTTTGTCATCAGAAGATACACACTAAATGCAACATTAGAAGTTGTTTTTGCTTCTGGTTGAGTATAAACAGAGAGGGACAGTGCAGAGACACGGAGACCAGCTTACCCTAAGCAAGACTGTGATGGTGGCTGCATCAAAGAAGTCATTTTAGAAATGGTAAGAAGTGGATCTATGTTTTGAAAATGGACCTGTCTTAATTTATGTTTGAATTAAATATAAGTTATGACAGAAAGACAAGAGTGAAGAATGTCTGCAAAGCTTTTGATCTGAGCTAATGGAAGAATGAAGGAGTGAGGCTGGGGGTAAATCAAGTTTGTCACTGGAATTGCCAGATTCAGGAGTCTATTTGACAAACAAATGGCTATGTCTAGGGAGCTACTTACTCAAGTCTGCATTGAGGGAAAGATGTAGACTAGAGGTAAAATCAGAATGACAATGATTTGTTCCCTGTTTTTCACCTTCTCCTGGTAATAGCAGCGATGTCAGGTGTGTTGTTACATGGTGTCAGGTATATGCTGTGCACACTACTTCACTTAATCTTGACAACTACCAAGAGAAGCAAATACTTTCATACAGTCCCTTTTCAGACACGTGGAAACCAGCGCAGAGAGGAGAACCAATCAATGCAAGGTCACATAGATTTCAACTGACCTATCAGTTCTGGCACAGGAATTTGGAAGAGGATCTCAGAGTTTCCTTTGATTTATTATGCTAGAATGTACTGATTTAGCAAACCATGGGTACTTAATACGTGCCTATGGAATGAATGAATGAATGAACAAATGAATGAAGTCAGTCATGGTGGAAATTTAAAGCCCCATCTTTGCAGTGCTTGAGATGAAGGGTAGACCTAGATGTCACTAGTATGTGGTGCTCCCACCGTGCCTTTTAGTAGAGCCCTTCTTGTAAGAACCAGTCACATCTCCATGATACCAACCTGCATCCCAAAGGTCCAGGACCCCTCTCTGCCCTTCCCACAAAGCATCGATTTGCTCTGTCTTTGTACTGTCACCTGGAAGGAAGCCCAGGGTGTCCAGAGCTTCCCTGGCTTGAAGGTTGAGGAGCCTTAGCGCTGGCAGTGGGAGGAAAGGAGGCTGGATGAAGTTCACTTCGGGTAGGTCTTACAGATGAGAATACTGAGGCTCTGAAAGGGGAAGCACCTTGCCCCAGGTCGTCATGACGTTGGCAGGACAGCTCACTTCTCTACTTCCTTTTGCAGGGACACTCTGGAGAGGGAGGGGCACTGTGGCTCAGTGACAGAATGGGGACCAGCTGAGTCACACAAGGACATCAAACCTTTCCCAAGCCTCTGTGATTTGCCCAGAGATGACTGCCTTTCATTTAATCCTTAAAAAGGGCCTTTGGAGGTCGGGGATAGTTGTACCATGTTACAGATGGGGAAACTGAGATTGAAGAATTTGATAACTTACACACACCTACAAAATGGCAGAATCAGGACTTGAACACAGGTCCAACTCAGTTCAGGTGCTCTATCCACTGGTCACAAAGGTCCTATTCAAACCTCTCATCTTTAGTGCCTTCTGGGCCGGAACCCCATTTCCCAGCTTCCCAACAACTAGGCTACTTCACTGAGGCCATAGTGTAGCTAGTCATCCCCTCCAAGAGGCCTCTCTCATCACCCAGATATACAGTGGCCCCTTCACCATGGCACCTGCATAGCTGTCACCTTTATCTCCAGGCATCTTATTCATAATCTCCCCCTCCCAGCTACTTATGAGCTGGCACCAGCTATCTCTGGACCCATAGAGTCGTAAATATTTGTTGACTGCATTAATCAATGAATGAGTGGGCTTACTGCTTAGCTTAAAAAGTCACAGTCAAGAAAAAGGTGGAGCTGGGTGCCAGTGGCTCACACCTATAATCCTAGCTACTCAGGAGGCAGAGATCAGGAGGATCATGGTTCAAAACCAGCCCCAGGCAAAAGTTCAAGAGTCCCTATCCCGAAAAAAAACCCATCACAAAAAAGGGCTGGTAGAGTGGCTCAAGGTGTAGGCCCTGAGTTCAAATTCCAGCACCACTAAAAAAAAAAAAAAAGGCAGACTAAAGGAACCTCCCTTAGCAGAGCGCAACTGTGTGAACATTGTGGTCCCAGCAAGGGGCAGACCCTTTGTTCTCCACAGGACAAAGCCAGCATCCTGAGCTGACACCCTGTAATCCAGGCTGGCCTGGACTCCAACAAACTTGGCCTGCACAGCCCCAGAAAAGTCCCCAGTGGTGGGCAGCCTTCCCACCTATTCCCCAGAACGCAACCTGCAGAGAAAAACAACTTGGGGTGACCTGGATCCACCCCGGTGAGGTGTGGGAAACCCAGGCTCGGCCTGGGTCTGGGCGGGGCCACCAGCTTGGCAAGGCATTGTTTGCCTCTGTGTACAGCAACCAGAAACCGCCACAGCCAGCACTTCTCAGAGGCACCCCGCCCCCCCTTATTTTAATCTCCCAAACTGACTTGTCAGCAGCAGGAAGCGACATGACAGCTTTCCTCACAAAAGGGAAACTCCTCCGTGTTACCATGGGCACGGAGGCCACTGTAGGATCCCAGGCTTATATAATCTTAAAGGTGTAGGCACCATGATGTCATCCTCTCATGGGCCGGGGGATGAGGGGTTTGGATGCCAGAGACTGTAAAGGCAAAATAGCTGTGATTTGCAAAATTCCAACCGGAAAGGATGCGGTGGAGGCATTGAAGGTTGGAATATTCTAATGTCAGGGATGCCTGGAATCCACAGGAGAGCATTAAATATGCGTTTTCCACATCCTAGAATTAGAGAGCAAAGAGGAATCTTACCCATGAGATCCAGTGCAAACTTGTCGTTTTATGGGTGGGAAAACTGAGACCAGAAGTCACTGGGAGCAAGGATGTCACCATGGTTCTCCAGAGCCCATGTACGACAAGCCAGGCACTTTAGATTCATGGGCCCATTTCCTTCTCATAATTGAAGCAACTTTTAATTGTTCCCATTTCACAGATGAGGAAACTGAGACCCTCATGAATAACTAGCTCTCCCACCCCAAAATTATAATGAAGTCTGGTTGGGTACACAGCTCATCTTTCCCAGCTCCCTCAAGCTGCCTCTGGTCCCAGTCACCATTTAGACTTGGCCTCCCCTTCTCTGCAAGGTCGTCTACTTGGGCATATTACCTCATTTCTCTGAGCCTCAGCTATAAAATGAGTGTGGCTGTTAAAGGTTGAATGCAAACAGGAGCAGAGTCAGGTAAATGTAGCCACTTCTAAAACTAACAGTTGTTATTATCATATCATGAGTATTAAATGATTAGGTTTCTATTTCAATTCTCCCTGGGAAACAACCATCTTAATAGGGTTTAGGTATTTTTATCACGAGGTACTGATTTTGTCCCAAGAAAAGCAGTGTGACATTTTCTGGAGGGCCTGAGCATAGGTGATCTGAAGTGTGGAGAGGGGTTGTCTCTAGTTCTGGGATGGAGCTGGGAGAAGTGAGTGAGCTGTGTTCACTGGTGGCTCCCTTAGGCAGCGCTGTATTTTTCCACTGAGTGGATCACACTGGAGATTAATTTTGGCTCAGCCAGAGCCTGCCACGTCAAAAATGAAGGCTCAAGCCCATAGGACTGTGGCCCCGACATTTGCCACAGATGGGCTGTTTCTGGTATATTTCCACCAAGTGAGAGATTTGAAATAGTAAATTTCTAGGGTTTGATAAAATCACTGGGTCGGGTTTGTTTTGAAAGGCATGAACACACTTGCCATCAATTGGAAACCCAGCCAAAGGAAATGACTTTGCCAGCCCCGGGTAAGCTCTCACATCTTAGAACACGAGGATCTTTCAGGCCCTGAAAGTCAAGTGGCAGGTGGGTCAGTAGAGAGAGGTCAAAAACAGATTCTATCAAGACCTTGAACAGCAGGGTTGGCAAGGACCATGGTGAGGGACAGTGCTAGAGAAGGCGAGTGTGATGTTCTCATTCTGCTTTTCACAGCACTTTGTCCAGAAACAAGCAGGGGGAGAGCAGGAGCTAGGGGCTGGTGGCTAAGAGCCTCGCCGTTCTTAAATTCCACAGCATACGCTGGATCATGGGTTTATAGCCAATTATACCTTCTGTCTTAGCCTATTTGGCAAGAGAGTAAAAATTCAGAATATTGCCCTGCAGCAAGTTTGATTTAATTGCCTATCTTCAACAAAATTACATAAAGAGCAGCAAGAGACCTGAAGAGGTGGCTTGCCAAAAATGCTGTGTCTATGCAGAGATTGGGCACAGATGTCCCAAAACATTAACGTGGGGTGGGGAGTTGATATTGCAGGTGATTTCTCTACATTTCATTTGCTTATGGTATTTGGATTTCTTTTGTACTAATTTTCACAGAAATAAAAGCTTTGTCAAAAACAAAAACAGCCATGTAAGACAGGTATGTGGTAAGATCCAAAGGTTTAGAACTAGGGGACAAATTATAGGTTCCCAGTTCCCTCCTCCTGCTCTGCTGGGGTCTCACATTTCCACCTGCAAAGACCTGGTTGATTGGGTGGAAGGGAAATGCTGGTTTTGTTTTGGTTTGCTTTTTCTTTTTTGGTGGTACTGGGGTTTGAACTCAGGGCCTCACACTTGCTAGGAAGGTGCTCTACCATTTGAGTCACTCCATGAGCCCTTTTTTGAGATAGGGTCTGGCTTTTGTCGCCTACACATGGCCTTGAACCATGATCCTCCTGATTTCTGCCTCCCACGTAGGTGGGATTACAGGCATGAGCCACTGGTGGCTGGCCAGAGGCTTAGTTTCTTGGGGAAGGCAGGGAACACTTTTGTGTCAAGTGCTTTGGCAAACTTTCATCCTCTTCCTAACTATAGCACAGCTCAGAAAGGGCAGGGAGACTTTATACTATCCCAGGAAGGTATTTAATGAAAAAGGCAATGTAAGCAGAAGTGTTTTCTTCCTCACTCTGGGGACACTTGGGATTGCTGGGTCACAAAGGACACAGGTGAGCAGTTGACTCTATGCTAACACCTTGGCTGCAGCACCTGGTATTGCACACTTCATCTCATTCATCCATGTTACCTGCAACCCAGTCATCTCATGAGACCAAGGGATCAGATCCAGCATATCTCCTGGGGCCCTGGTCCAAATGCTTCCCCCTAAGGATCAAATGGGGGTGCCAAAAAAACAAAGCTCTGAGATTAATAGAAATGCCATAATTTATTCCGCTGTATAAAAAAGTCATCCTTATGTAACAAAATGTCTTCTTAGAAGAAGAAATATATTATTTCAGATCATAAATAACCAGCAAAACATACAACTGTTGGCAACTAAAAAAAACCCCAACACTGGTGTTTTCCATCAGTGCTGGAAACAAACCTGCTTAGGCTCTATTTACAAGACAGTACAGTACTCAAACACAAAAATTGAGGTATTTGGTTCTTCTAGGAGTAGACACTGACATTTGTGAAGGCAGACCACCTACACAAAAATAAATAAGGTATAGTCTCATACATGTATGGGTCGGGAATGGTAATACTGGTGAGTATGTCAAGCATAAAGAACTTTCTAGAAAACACAGGAGCAAATAAAACAGGCTCACACAACTGAGTCCTTTCTCTTCTGCCCTGTTCTGTCAGAGGGGTTTGATGTGCCCACCACATATTGGTCCCGAATGTGCCTGGGTTCAGCAAATGTGTGTTTGGAACTTGGGTGAAATTAAATAATGAGCCGGTCCTGGAGATATTATTGCATTGTCCCCTCGAGGAGCCTGGAGTCCTCCCACGGTCCTTCAGCAGCTGGGAGAGGTCGTAATGGGGCTCTGAAGGTAGCTCAGGGCACTGTTCGTGGGGTGGACAGGGATGGACACTGGGAAGTTGAAGACCGTGGTGGTGGAGGTGCTTCGGTCAAGCACGGCCATGGCTGGGCTCCCAGCCTCGGCTGAGCAGTGTGGGGCCAGCACCTGGGACTCAAACTGCAGCAGCTGACCCATGAAGCTGAAGTTGGGGGAGATGATACTGCGCCTCTGCTTCACAAATTCAAAGGCCTCGTCTAGCTTCACGCGGTTAGTCCTCATGAGGTAAGCGAGGCAGATGGTGGCTGACCGGGAAATGCCCGCCTGGCAATGGACAAATACCCTTCCTCCAGCATTCTTGATGGAGTCTGAAAAGCAAAGGGCGGCTGGTTACTCGAGAGCTCAGAACAACCCAAGCCTAGGTACAGGGTATCTAAAAAATGCCATGTATGTCCTGTCCAGAGATGGTCAATGTCACCTCAAGACACTGTTCAGGGAGACCACATGGGCACTTGTACAAAGAACAAGAAATTTAAACCCAGACTGGGTATTTCCACTTAGCAGACTGATCCTGGACAAGTCAACTATCTGAGCCTCAGTTTGCTATTCTGTAAAGAGGGACAACAAATCCATGACTTGCAGGGATGTTACTCAAGCCAGACTGGTATTAATGTCTGGAGGAAGACTCAGATGAAGCTCATTCACATCCTTGCCATTGAGGCTGGTGGGCAGAGGTCCCAGGCATCCATTCCATTTACCTATGAAGTCGATTGCCTCGTTGAACCAAGAGCTGATGTCGGCCTTGTGGTTGTCCTCCACGGGGATGCTCTTGTACTGGTAGTGACCCTCAAAATGGTTAGGACAATTGGCTGAGACGTTGATCAAGGCGGTGATGCCCAAGGCATCCAGCATGTCCTTTCGGGAAGCATGATAGGCACTGCCCAGGTACAGAAAGGGCAGGATCTCCACTGGGCCACCCTGAAATCCAGAAAATTCCCACACTCGTCAAGCTTGCTCAAAGTCAACACCAGGGCCCACACCCACAAAACTCCCTGCTGGAAAAGTGCATGTCAGATACTGGGTGACCTTGTCAAAGCTAATGAAGTATAAATAAGCAAGGGACTAAGTCCACTGGCAATGGTATAAGTAAAATCCCTGTGTTTCCTCTAGTATAAATAAAGCTGCAGTCACTCTATAGTCTTCCAGGCCTCTGCCGGCTCTTCCCCCTTCCCTCTGGCATAGATCCCTACCTGATCATAAAGCGGCGTGCTGCAAGAGCTGCATCCTGATTCTGCGCTGTCAGGGACGCTTGTACTCAGGGGAAGGCTGAGCCCCATAGGGGTCGACTGCTTGCTGCACAGCTCCGGGCAAGAAGCTGAAAAGGCTTCGTATCCTCCTGGAATACAAAGACATGGGTTTTTTTTTTCCATTAGTATCACCGGAACAGCACACCTCAAGACAACTCCCCCCACCTACCCACCAGGGGTTAGGAGTTTACATGGCAGAGGCCCAGGCAAGTCTTTGTTGCTGGAGCCAAACAATGCCAACAAGTCTGGTGAGATGGGAGGCCGGCGCCCACGTGCTCCAGATGGGGCAACCCCAGCCCGGAGGTGAGAGCCAGGGGTCCCCGCACAGCCCCGATCTTCCCCGAGCGCGTACCTTTGAGGAAGAAGACTTGCGCTGCGCGCGCCTCGCGACAGAGCGCGCCAGCCGCCAAGGCCAGGGTGCCGTCGCGCTTGGCGCCGTCCAGGGCGGCGCTGCGCTCGTCCAGCAGCACCACAGCGTGGTAGGCGCCGGCCAGCAGGCGGCCGCGCAGCTCCGCGTTGGGCACGATGTGCTCCAGGCCCATGGCGCCCTTGGCCCGGCGCCGCACGATGGTGCTGAAGCGCACGTTGACCGAACCGGCGATGTGGCCGGCGTTGAAAGCGAAGAAGGAGCGACAATCCAGCAGCAGGCACTGAGCCGCTCGCTCCCGCAGCAGCGTCCGCAGGCCTCCGGCGTCCAGGATGCCAACCTCCATGACCATGGCCGGCCTCAGCGCCCCCAGCGTGCTCGACCCTCCGGCGCTTTGTCTGTGCTCGGAAGCCAACAGCGGGGCGGCGACCTTCGAGGAAAAGCCTGACCCTGGGGGCTCTGCGCCGAATCAAAACCTGCCCTTGAACTGGCGGGGTTTGTGTGGGACTTCTGGGCTCCTCGCTGCTTCCCTGCCTGTCCCTCCGGCTGGGCGCTCAAACTCCAGCCAGTTCGTCCTTCGCTGCGCGCTCGGCTCGGGGAAGCGCGATTATATGCGGCCTCCCGGGGGGGCGGGCCCACAGCGCGGGGGGAGCTGGTTTGTTTGTTTGAATGGTGGTCACGTGATGGGGCGGTGACGTCACCCGCCCTGCCCCGCCTGGCGCCGCCGAAGCCAGAGGCAAAGACGTCATCGGCCTCCAAGCCCTGGCAGCTCGCCGCGTGTTGGCTCGCGTCCCGGCCCCCGCCCTGCTGTCCGGCTCGCGCCGCCCTCCGAGGCCAGCCCGGAGGAGGGTGCGCTGCCAGCCCAGGGCTGACCTTCGGGACGCGAGCGGTCGGGGAGCGCGCCGTGTGCTACCGGCCCGCGCCGATTCCCTGTCTTGAGCCCCCCGTTGCCCACGACACGATCGGAAAGGGCCTGCCACAAATTTGCAAACACTTGGGCCCCTTTCTCATATTTCCTCCTCGTTAACAATCGGGAAATTGAGGTCCCCAAGGAGAAGTGACTGACTTGCCCAGTGTCACATTGCCGGGGTGGGGGAGGAAAGGGCGCGGCAGAGAAGAGCCTTGGATCTTGGTCGGAGAAAAGTGAACTACTCTGTCCATGTTCGTGTCGCTTCTACCAAGAAGGGCTGAAGTGAGTGGAGGCTCAGGCATCTTCTGTTTCCCAGACTTTTCTCTAATGTGCACAAAAATTTTTACACTGAACAAGGAATATACCTCCAATCAAACCCTCAGGGGAAAAAGTGTTATTCCTACCCAGGTGATCGCTGCAAGAGTTGGAGCCAAGGAAGAGTCAAGAGACTGGGGATACGGGGGTGAGGGTCGCAAGGTCGGGTGTGGATGGCAGGGGTGAGCATTTGAAGGGGACCAGGGCGACCTGTAGCGTGGCTCAAGAGCGCCCCGCAGGGGCCGCTAGGCACGTTTTTGTCATTTGGCTTCACATCCAGCTTCTCCATCTCTCTCATTACATAAATTCATGCTGATGGAGCACCTACTTTCCTGATCTGTGGGCTCCAAAGGAACAGAAGCCATCTGGCCCCACTCGCCACTCCCTGATCGTCACCTAACACAGGTTGTTTTCTCAATTCAGTCCCTTGGGCGCTTGAGGCGGGTGCGGGACCCTGCTCCCTAACGGAAAGACCCCTGTCCTGTCCGCGCCCTGGGCTCCAGGTACCGCTCGGCGCAGCAGTGTCCCGCCGAGCTGGACAGACACACACACACACACACACACACACACACACACGAACATTGCGCCACCCAGCTGGGGTTCAGAGTCAAGAACATTCTGCTGCTTCTTCCCCTCTGCTGGGGGAAGGGTTTTACCGGCCACCTTGGTCTTTGCTCTGTGAATTGTATAACCAGAGGCCACTTCTGCATTGCCACCCTAATCTTACGTGTTCACTCATACGCCTGGATTCTTCTAGAAGTTCAGGAACTGGGTACTTTGTGGAGGGTTGTTTTTGGTTTTGTTTATTAAGGGCTTTTTCTGCCTTCCTTTGAACACTGATGGAAGACAAACAGCACCACTCATCCTGTATCCTAAAAGAGAGAGCAAGACAAATGAAAAAATTCCTTCATTTGTTTATTCTACTTATTTTTCAGCTGAGGACCTCCACATACTTCTTGTGTTGAATCATAGAATGTTACAGCTGCTGTCTTTTTCACTGCATACCGGCTTGATTTATCCGAATTTTTCTTTTTACCAAGGGCATTCATTATACCTTCCTTTACCCAAATTTTTCAAGGAGAAAAATGTTTAATATAAACATCACAGTGGTATGGCACAGTCTGGTGCTGGAGCCAGGCGTCTGTTGGCCTCTGTGGATTTTTCCTCTCCTCTCTTGCTGGCAAGAGCACAGAGCAGAATGGACCCCATGCAGGGCCACTTTTGCTGTTGGGTGAGGCTATGATTTTCTTCTGTTGAGCCTCCAAAGCCACATCTGTTTTGGTGTGTATGGCAGACAGCCTGCTTAGTGGTTCTCCCAAGCAGAGAGACTGGAGGTGTAAGGAGCCAGGCCCTACCTCACCCTTTCTCCTTAGGATTCACTGACTCTGCATCTCCCCTTCCCAGCAGAGCAGTATCATCATGCTACTGTGCTTTTCAGGGTCTGGCAGCAGAGCCTGTGAGGAAGTCACCACAAGGCAATGGCTTCTGAGACCCCCATAGATGTGGGTGGGACAGAGGCCCAGCTTAGGAACCAACCGTCACACAATGGCTGGTGTCAAGTGGTGAAGGTACAACCCGCCTAGCCCATGATCGGGGCGGTAGGGATGGCCTTCTGACTGCAGACAGGGTCAGAAGGGGTAATGGGCTGGTGCCATGGACCTGGCTGACAGAGGGCAGTGAAGCAAGATTGCGTGAGTGGATGCTGAGTGAGAGAGCTTGGCTTGTCTGACCTGGGCTCTTCCTGCTTCTGGACAGGCCTAGGAATAAACCTGGAGGCAGCGTGGCATAGGGAAAGGGACCAGCCAGAAGGCCTGGCCTGGGCTTCCCACCTTTACTGTGTGGCCTGGAGTAAGTCACTTCGCCTTGCTGAGCCTGCACTTCCTCCTTCCTGGGACAGATGGAGAGAAAGGTAACATTTACTTCTAGGGACTTGGGGGACACCATGCAAGCAGGGCCAGCACCAGCCTACAAGCCCTGTCCAATTCCTATTCTCAAAGTTGACGATGGCTCTGTCTTGGGGTCACAAGGGCCTGTGTCCTTGTAGGCTCCTATGTGGTCTTGCCAAACCACTTGTCTCACATTGGTGGGGCCCTAGCTTAGTGCTCTGTGACTTTGGGCAAGTGATTTGCCATTGCCAAGCCTCAGTTTCTCCATTTATAAACTGGGAATACTATGTAAGTAAAACTGAGACAAGGCGAGGTGGGGATCCAACCCAAAAAGGGTATACACAGAGAAGGGGCAATTTCAGACAGTCACATTTCCTCTATCAGCATCCATAGCCCTTTTGCTGTCTCCCCTGTGCTGTGTGGTGGCTGCTCCTGTGTCATTCATTTTCTATTGCTATGACAAAATACCTGATAAACCTCTTGTAAGTAAAAAAAGGTTTATCTTGACTCACAGTTACAGAGGTTTCAGTCCATGGTCACTGGGTTCCATCATTGTGGACCTAGGTTGAGGCAAAACATTATGGTGGGGAGTGTGTGGCAAAGCCAAGAGGCTCACCTTAAGTCAGGTCAGGAAACGGGGTGGTACCATAAAATTTAGCACTGGTGTCTTCTCAGTTCTTGTGTCCAATGAGAGAATTCAGACAAAATGCAAAAATGTAATAAACATGATAGTCAAGTTTATTAGGAAAGGAATTTAGTACAAGATAAAAGGAGGGAGAAATAATTTCCTGCTTCCCGTGCAGGAAATGGGAGTAAAGATTCAAAATGGCAGCCCTCATCTCTAGTCTTATACTTTCCCAGCTGGGGGAATACTCGCTCATATTACACTGCTCATGTCTAACGACCTCTAATCACTACGATAATGAATCTGGGTGCCTAAGATGAGGGCTGAAACAGGCAGATGTCATCCAGGCCTATCAAAACTCAGGGACAATAGGTGTGCTTTAGGACTTCCTTTTGCCAGAAAAGCCTTTCCCTCTAGCCATCCAAGGTGCTTTGCAGCTTTTGTTAAGTCTCAAAGAGGAAGGTCATACAGATAGCACCTTAAGTTTCTCTGTACTTCTAACTAAGACCTAAAAGGAGATGAGCAGCCAAATAGCTGCTCTGGCTTTTCAGTTTTTCCTTTCTCTTTCCAATGTCTGAGTCTGGCCCTTTAAATATTCATTAAGAGATTATAATTCCCCTGTCTTTATGTTGCCTCACCCATCATTAATGGTTAACAGCTACCTTAAGGGTGGAAGAGGCCAAAACAAAATAGAGTCCCCAAGGACATGCCTCCAAAGACCCACTCCCTTCAACTAGGCCCTACCTTCTACAGTTCCCACCACCTCTCAGCAGTCCATTCAATACAAAGCCATCAATGGATGGTCCAATCACTTCCCAAAAGCCCCACCTCTGAACGTAGCTGCATTTTGGCATTGCCTTTGACACATGAGGCTTTGGGGGAATGCTCCAGATCCAAAGTATAACTCTGCTCTTACTCAGTAATCACCTATGACTCCCATTTCCATGTCCACATCTCACCATGCTGAGCCTCCCCTGGCCGTCTTGATTTCTCTGGTGTGTTTCAGGAAAACTTGGAGAGCCTGTGTTCTTCAATGACCTTTTCCCATCCTTCAGACCCCTTGAAAGAGCTGTGCCAGCAAGGACTTGATTTCTCCAAGCTTCTGCCTCCCCTGGGCTGAGGGCTTTGTCCCTATAGACTGAGGGTGTGACTGTCACTTAGATCCCTGTCTTATTCCCCCTGGACTGAAAACTTGTCACCTTGAGGGTAGGATTGTTTTTCTCCTCTTCACACAGTGCCCAGCACTTAGTAGGTCCACAATTTGTGACATAGTAGTGTTTTTAAGTGCACTGTTGAAAAGTAGCAGAAGGGAAGAAGTAGAAATGACACTTGCTAAGCCTCTTTTTGCTGCCAGGTGTCTTACAGGTGTCATTTCATGACCTCATCAATGACCGTGGAGGTGGTTGTCGTCTCTAATTCACAGGCAAGGGAGTAGGCTCAGAAAGGGGACAGGCCCAAGGTCACACAGCTGGTAACCATCAGATGCAGGTTCAGACCCAGACCCTACCTGGCCTGCTGGGGCATTGGTCCCTGCAAGCCCTATTCAGCAGTGCTGCCTGAGGCCTCTGGCTCCCAGCTAGCCTGGGGTGCCCAGCAGAGGTCTCTGGCCCCAGCCCTGAACAGAGTCTGGAGCGTCCTCACACCTCTGACTCAGACTCCAGTAGTTCAGTGTTGAGCCACAGACAGGGAGACTCAGTAGCCACTTGGGCCCACCCCGAGGGGCTGGCAAGGGGTGGCTTTGCCCTCTATACCCAGGCATTAGGACACAGCCAGTTGCTATTGCACAATTTTTACAATCACATCTCCACCATCAGGGCCTGGGAGGACCTACGGAG